CTCCCCCCTTTCCTGCAGCCCCTTTCAGCCCTGGGGGGCCTCTCTAAGGTCTCCCCAGAGCCTTCTCTTCTCCAGCTGAACCCCCCGACTCTCTCAGCCTGTCCTCACAGGGGGTGCTCCAGCCCCCCCAGCATCTCCGTGGCCTCCTCTGGCCCTGCTCGAGCAGGTCCGTGTCCTTCTGCTGTTGGTGCCCCAGAGCTGGACCCAGCACTGCAGGGGGGTCTGATGAGGGCAGAGCAGAGGGGGAGAATCCCCCCCCTCGCCCTGCTGCCCACACTGCTCTGGGTGCAGCCCAGGACATGGTTGGCTTTCTGGGCTGTGAGGGCACGTTGCTGGCTCACAGTCAGTTTTCCAACCACTAATACCCCCAAGTCCTTCTCCTTGGGGCTGCTCTCCATCCCCTGCCTGGATTTGTGCTTGGGATTGTCCTGACGACCTTGCACTTGGCCTTGCTGAACTCCATGAGGTTTGCACATCCGTCATCTCCAGCCTGTCCAAGTCCCCCTGGATGGTGGATCCCTTCCCTCCAGTGTGTCACCTGCACCACACAGCTCGGTGTCTTCAGCGAACTGGCTGAGCATGGCTCAGTCCCACTCTCTGTGACACCAACAAAGATGTTGAACAGCGCCGGTCCCAACACCAGCCCCTGAGGATGCCACTTGTCACCACTCTCCACTTGGACGTGGAGCCATTGACAGCAACTCTGCAACCACCCCGGCAATTCCTCACCCCCCGAGTGCTCCATCTCTCAAATCCACGTCTCCCCAGTTTAGAGACAGGGATGTTGTGCAGGACAGTGTCAGATGCTTTGCACAAGTCCAGGTAGATGACTTCAGTTGCTCTTCCCTTGTCCACCAACACCGTAACCCAGTCGTAGAAGGCCACCAAATTTGTCAGCGATGATTTGCCCTCCGTGAAGCCCCGTTGGCTGTCACCAATCCCCTCCTTATTTTCCATGTGCCCCAGCAGAGTTTCTAGGATCTTGCCAGGCACAGAGGTGAGACTGACTGGCCTGTAGATCCCTGACTCTTTTTCCTTTTTAAAAGTGGGGGGTTTGTTTCCCCTTTTCCAGTCAGTGGGAACTTCACTGGACTGCCACAACTTCTCCAATATGATGGACAGTGGCTTAACCACTTCATCCACCAGTTCCCTCAGGACCTGCAGATGCATTTCATCAGGTCCCATGGATTTGTGCACCTTCGGGTTCCTTAGATGTTCTTGAACCTGACCTTCTACAGTGGGGGGTTCTTCATTCCTTTGCTTTCTGCAACTTGGGAGGTGTGGCTGGAGCATTTGCCAGTGAAGACTGAAGCAAAAAAGCTATTGAGACTCTCAGTTTTCCCATGTCCCTGGTAACCAATTCTCTCATTTCCTTCCAGAGAGGGCTCACATTTTCCCTAGTCTTCCTTTTATCAACAACATACCTGTGGAAGCTTTTTCTGTTGCCCTTGACACCCCCAGCCAGATTTAATTCTACCAGGTCTTTGGCCTTCCTAACCTGATCCCTGCCTGCTCGGACAATTTCTCTTCATTCCTCCCAGGCTACCTGTCCTTACTTCCACCCTCTGTACACTTCCCTTCTGTGTTTGAATTTTTCCAGAAGCTCCTTGTTCATCCATGCAGACCTTCCGGCGTATTTTCCTGACTTCCTCTTTGTCGGAATGCATCGCTCCTGAGCTTAGAGGAGGCAACCCTTGAATATTAACCAGCTTTCTTGGGCCCCTCTTCCCTCCAGGGCTCTATCCCATGTTACTCAGCCAGGCAGATCCCTGCAGATCCCTGAAGATCCCAAAGTCTGCTCTTCTGAGGTCCAGGGTAGCAAGATTGCTGCACGCCCTCCTTGCTGCACTAAGGATCTTGAACTCCATTGCATGGTCACTGCAGCCAAGGCTGCCCTTGAGCTTCACACTCCCCATCAACCCCTCCTTGTTAGTGAGAACAAGGTCCAGCACAGCACCTCTCCTTGTTGGCTCCTTTATCACTTGGAGAAGGAAGTTATTTTAAAGATGTTATCAAGATGTTGGAATATAAATGCTTCAGCACAAGACTAATAGGATCAGTGACAGCAGTACTTCCTAGGCAAGGTTCACTCTAGATCACCTCATGCCTTGGAGATGAATTTATCGAGGTGAGGCATGGAACTGCCCTCTGCTGCAAAGACCCACCCATCACCATCCAGGGGCGAGTCCTCCAGGATAAGCTTATGCAGTCATTCCTGTTTTCAGCTAGTGATTTCAGTCCTTCAGGCCAGCCAGTGAAGTTGGTTGAACTGGTGAACACTATTAGCAGTGCAGGTTTCTTGAACATCAGGGCAGGAAGCTGTCTCATCAGCTCTACTGTTGTCAGAATGCTAAAGCAGCTGCATCTGGTTGGGAAAGGCCCCCCTGAAGCAGAAGTCACTGCAGGCAGATGACCTGATTTGGCCACCTACCTATGGCATGATTCACCACAGCGTAAGCACCTGTTTCCGTCAACTGTGACACAAACCGAAGGACATGAGATCAGAAGAGACACCCAAAGCCCTAACTCACAACCCCCAAAATGTAAACTTAAAAAGATAAGCCTCATAAAGAAGGAAGAATGAGGAAAAATATCACCTGGACATACAGAGAAGCTTTTTGCATGTTGGAGAGGTGTGAGGGAGCCAAGGGAGGGGCAGAAGTGGCAAAAAAAGAAAAAAAGAAAAAAAAAAAGAAAAAAAAAGAAAAAAAAAAAAAAGCAAGCAAGATCGGCCATCATCACTTTCCATACTGTAGTGAATGAACTTAAGATGAGCCAAATTCAGACATTACCACCGCCAGGCTGCAGTGGCTATGCCTCACACCAGCCGTGCACAGCAGATGCTATCGCTCATCTCCATGCCCCAGAACTCACAGATCTGCATCGGCAGAAGGCCCAGCGCATTTTGTTGGCTCAAGATCTGAACGATTCCACATGCAAATACTGTTGCCTCTAAGGTCAGGTTCCCTACTGCAGAGAAAAAGAAGATGCAGAGATGAATATCCTCTTTCAATAATTTACTTTTACTGAGCAAGTTTTTTGCCATGAGGTCACAAACTAGACCTCAGTCCTCCTGCTTCATACAAACTTCTCCACGGCTACTTTGTGAGCCTGAAGCAGCTGGTTCAGAGTTCAATTTCCCTTGCTGTTTCCTGCTCAAACATTGCTCCTACTCCCACCTCAACTCCTTAGCAGGCACAAGCCCTGCCCCTTCCTTCCAACCAAAGACCAGACCATGCAGCTGCTTTGCAACAAAAAGTCCCAAAGAGCCCTTGATCCTCCCGACTCCTTTGAGGGCTGACCAGAGCCACCTGCATGGTTGAAAGTCTCTCCTCCTAGGGCAGATGTGGCTGCATGCACATTCCTGAGACCGTTGAGCATCCAAAGTCCTCTCCTGTGCCACAATGTTAGAGGCGATGCTGAACAGCAGAAAACTTTTGATAGCTGCTGATGGTCCTGCTGCACTGGGTGGTCCCCAGGGCTCACAGTGAAGCTCTGGTGACACAAAGCACTCCAAGGCAGAGATGGTTTAGGTAATTGAAGACCAGCCCGTTTAGGGCTTGAAGGCAATGTCTATGCCTTAAAACATGAGGCAAGAACCACATGAGGCATTCCTGTGGCCACCTGCACGAACAGCACTGCAGAGGCGGATGCAATAAATTGCTTTAAGCACAGGAAGGAACCCAATTAAAAAACTGATGGATGCCAGGAGGCTTCAGAGCAGCAGACATCTTCCCTGATGCAACAAGCGCTTCATCGGCCTCCTCCTTCTCAGAAAGGGTTCGGTCATCCTTGCAAATGACCTCTTCTGGTCATCCTTGCCAATTGTTAGGTTTGCTGAAATGTCAAGGAACAACCAGGACTTCCAGGAGCTCGGTGGAGGCTTGGTGCAGTGGGAGGGCACGACCGGCCTCTCAGATCAGCCTGACAGTCCTTGTCACTTTTCTGTTTACTCTCAAAGCAGAAGGCAAAACCAGTGTGTGCTTCCCTAACAGGTCCCGCAGGTCACCAGCACCGTTGGAAGATGCTGCTAGGAGCAGGTTTTGGCCTCCTCCTGGGGCATGTGGGTTCTGTGCTGCTTCTGCACTGAGTCCATGGACTCAAGGTGAAGGAGTTTGGGTGCACTGACTTGCTGCTAGAGTTTTCTTGCAGCCAGGTTTCCAAAGAGGACAGATGGATGCCAATTGTGATGATAGATTGCTCTAGAGACCTTACATTTTTCATGTTGGGAATAAATTTTATTTCTTTTCAAACTAAAAATAGTACCTACAGTGATTAAAACCCCCCATCAAAACCCCAACCACAATAAAGATAATTGCTTAATCCACCCTTGTGAAACTTCACAACAAGACATTTCAATGGAAGGATAAATTTTTACATGTGGTACATGATAGAAATAATATCTACCTTACAGTTCTAGAGGAATTAGCCAAGAAGGAGAGTTATGGTACATCAGCCCTAATTCAGTGAGACATTTTGCAACATCGCCCTTAAAATGCATACATAGTCCCACTTAAGTCATGAGAACTACACACAACCAACACAGCTGCATTCTGATGTATCTCCCCAAAGTGGGGACTGCAAGCACAAACCGTGAACTTAAAAACCATATCTGAAAATCCCTAAGCCTCTGTCTCTACAAGACAGGCAAATCCAGCTTTGAACATTAATGTGTGGTCATATTAATGTGCATATCTTCTTCAGCTGACATTTATCTGGCGTGTTGGAAGGACTAGTATTTATCACTAAAACTATTTATACAGGTGCACGAACATCATGTGGATTTGAACAATACTGTAGCGTCATGGCCTGTCAAAACCAGTCACCTCTTGAGTTTACCAACCAGCTGCAACAAACGGCTGGTGAGGCACTCACAGACAGACAATTTCATTCAGAATAACTGCAAAATAGCACACACATTCAAGACACGACACGTTCTTGGTCAGTTCACAGGAGAGACTCCATTTGCAAGGCAAAGTACCGAGTACAGTTGATCCAGTTCAGCTGGCCTCTGGCTTGCCCCTTGGGCCATGTTTTGGTTCCCAGCAGGTAATCCCTGACAGGATCTCAGTTTGTTCTGTCATCCTGGCCATTTTTCCTTTTGAAATGTTTTCTTCACAGAGCTCATGCTTTACCTTCATTTCCATCGGGTCATCTGTATCATCTACAGCAAGAAGGAAGGAATCAAAGTTCACGAGTCCTTTCCTGACACTGCAGCCTGCAACGACAGTAGCAGTGAAGTTACAAAGCATGCCAGAAAATGCTTCTATTTACAGGCAACAAGAATAATACTGGGCGTAGGGGACTCCGGTTCTCAGTTTTGGCTTTCCTTATCTCCAACAGCAATCACAACGACATTTAGTCCCCTATACCAGAGGGTTTGCAGGAGAACTGTCAGCATATATGGGTTGTATTTAGAAGGTACCAATGTGCAGCCTCCTGGATGCATTAGCAAGCACAGGATTGGGAGCAATTAATTCCTTCTGAGCACAGCGATTATGGCAGGAGTACCTAAGACTCCCCTCAGCTGCTGCATGTTGGATTTCTACAATATACCTGTAGGCTGCTATGGCATACTCTTAAATACAAAAATATGGCTTCACTTTCCTTCCTGCAGAGGATTCTTGCGAGGCTAAGAGCTCATCATAAGCCCTAGGATTTCAATCTGAAGAGCACTGAGGCCATTGAAGTGAAACATCTGTGTGATGGGAAATACCTAATTAATCCAGGCTCCCCCCAATTTCAAGTGTTCCAGCCTTACCAATAACTGCCGTTTTGTTATGCATATACTTATTTAGAAAACAAGGTCAGAAGATAAATTTCTTAGAGCGCCTCAGCTCCCAAGGGCGTTTTGTTCCTTAGTGGTCAGTGGGAATCTCAAATAATCCCTGCTGTGGGGCGGGGTAGATCATGGTAAAAAGAACAAACAAAAATGCTCTGGTTCGCAAGAGGCCTGGGCAGAGCTACAGAGATTTCTGCACCTTTGCGATACACCTGGCAAAGCTGGGGACTGGGGATTTTGTCTGTGAGAGCTACAGAAGGTCTGGCTTTTAGGAGGGCGCTCACCCAGCAGGCACAAGCAAGCTCCCACCCTGCAAGAGCAGCCCGAAGGGAAGGGACGCTGCTCCACTTCTGGTTTCCCATTTTAATGGGAACTAGAAGAGCAGCACATGGAGCTGGAAACCAAGAGGAAAGTCGTCCTGGAAATCAACACAAAACCAACGCCCAAAGGTGGTAAGAGCCTCCGCCTCACAGTGCACTGGACTGCTGCAGCTCCTACGTCCCGTGCGCCAGGCTGACATCGCTGCTCTGCCCCGACGCGCTTCCTCAGCCGCGCGGCGTGATCGCTGCTTCCCCGTGGCTCACCAGCGGGAAGGGATAATCTTGACCTGGTGCAACACGGAGACTGTGGCCTTTACAGAACTAACCAAGGACGTTTCCGTGGATTCGCACCAGGGCAAATGCTTGCAGCTTTTCTTAAAATAAATATCATCTAAGATAGACCGTGTGACACACTCTTCAGAAGTGCCTATTTCTCTCCATCAAAGCGTAAGAGCTCCCATTTAAACATAAGCTTACAAGAGATTCCAGAGACACATTAGAGCAAGCATAAAGCACAAGATGTTCAGACACTATTTAAAGCCCAGACAGATAAATGCGAAGGCAACAACTTAAAAGAGTCGTCCAATAGTTTTAGGACATGAAGTTCAGGCAAAAATATGTACTCTGAAATTAGACTCTGGTAAAAAACTTTAAAGAGAATTGATGGAAGTTAGACTGCTAGATGAATCCACTTTCAGAAGATAAACGCATGGCTTCTGTTGGAAGTGTGATACTTGCATCTCACACATGTCATTATTTTGGACAGTTTGCAGCAGCAAAATCCTTAGCAAGGTATCTTAATGAATTACCTGTGATACACACTGCTTGCTTCTGTTCCTCTTCAGAGGCTGTTCATCCTCGGAGATGTACTTGGAGGGAAAGTTCTTTAGTATAGGCAAGTATTTCCTACAAAACAGGAATAGTATGGGGTTTTATAATCCTGCAGACAAATACTCATACATTTAAGAGAAGTGTAAACCAACCTATGCTATATTAATTCTTGGGTGGTTATACTGATACCACAATCCATGGGAAAGTTCTGATTCATTTTGCACAACCCCCCCTGGTTTTATGTTCTGAAACCTCCATAGGGTGATATCTTCCACTAGTTAACTTTACAGCACGGAATAAATGCGTTGATTTAAACATTCCTTCACTTTTAACTTCATCCAAAATATTTTGGTTTTTAACATTTTCACTGATGTTTCATCCTAAACTTTCGTACCTTCCAAAACTGAATTTCAAAAAATCTAAAAAAACCTTACAGAATGGGAAAGTAATTTTCTGTCCCACTCTGTCAGGTATGTCAGCATGGGCTTCCCCTTGACAAGACACAAAGCTAGACAGGGTGTGAGGAAGAGGAGACGTGAGGAAATGGGGTTATTTGCTCGACATCAACAGAGTCTTGCGGTCAGCTGTAGAATCACCCACTACTTATGCGAAAGCCCGTCAGTACCTTATCAAGAGATAAGGAAACTGAGACTCTGAAGCAAAGAGAACTCACTCGGAGTGGAAAATAAAATCAAAGTGTCTGAAATTAAGCAGACCACCTACAAAACCAAGAAACGCGGCACATACTGGAGCCAGGGGGGAAAGGTGGGAAGTTTTACTCAAGTCCTTTAGAAAGAGGAGTCAGCCCAGTGATGGTGACTGCCTCCCATGGTGCTGGAGCCAGCAGGAGCCCACAAATCACTACAACACCCCGATCAGTCATCACCTGTGCAACCATGGGTATTCTCTGCTTCTCTGTGCCTCGATTTCCTTCTGTGTTCAATAAAACCACTGCTATGACCCCTGTTTCGCAGGGGAATGTGTGTCACACAGACCGAGTTCATCATCTCCTGCTGTCAGAGGAGCTGGGGAAGCACTAACAGAGCAGATGGCACCAAGCCATCGCCCTACCAGAGGTCCTGCCCCTTGGGGTCCATGTGCTTCCCAAAGTGGACGGGGCAGAAGATTCCACCTGGTGGAAGAACGCACTAGCTGACATCCACATCCAGTTCCGTGTGCTGATGCTGTAGTCAGCATCTAAGAGCAGCTCTTCAAACACCTGCGCTTCAGGGATGGCAAGAAAAAGAGAAACACCCCTGAAATGGCTGCATTTGTGGCAAGAAAACTCTCAAACAGGCTGAGAGGTGAAGGGTGAAGCTTGGCACTGGGCTGGTCTGGGCTGCCCTTCCCACAGGGCACACAGGGAAGGGTCTCCAGCAAGAGACTTTGTCAGAAGGAAGCTAGAACAGGACCTTGTGGTGGAGCAACCCAGAGCCCAGGTCTGGCTTAGAGGTCTGCTGCAGACTGAGCAGGTCTCCAATATCATCCAAAATCATCAGGCCTTGGGGATGGGAACGACCTCTCACTGCTGCACCGAGCGCAGAAGGGCTAAGACTTGAGCGAGAGACCATGAGGTTTCATAAACCATGAGATTTCATAAACCATGAGGTTTCATAACCCGTGAGGTTTCTAGCGAGGCTCAGTATGGAGCACTGCTCTACAACAGAACCGCCCACTGCCAGGTTCACATTTCACAGGGGTTCCTCAAGGTCAACCAGAACATAAAAAACAAAAAAACAGAAGTGAACCTTCATGCCCTCTTCCCAGCTGATCCAAAGGTCCCTCCGCAGCAGGAAGCGACTGTGTGCCGAGCAAGGTGATGGATCCAGCCCTCCTGGCACAGTGGGGTCATAACCACATCGATCCACGGGATCCCTGTCTGTCTGTGCCTGCAGCAGAAAAGAAACATCAGCCTTCCCACACAAAGCTTCAGAACTTCTTTCCTACACGCTGCTGTAAGCTCCACCTCAAATAGCCAGCAGAGACCAATCCCAAGGCAACAGAAAAACTGAAATGTAGCAGTTGTGACAATGCATCTTGTTACCTTTCTCTGTTTGTGGAGCCTCTCTGCATCCTCATACCAACTGACCTGAAGGCAGATGGGGTTCCCAACCATTCTGGTGAAGTTTGGTATTGCTGATGCCACCCCACAGGGTTCCCTCCACAGAAGCTGCCCTTGGAGCCACACCGGGGGCAGAGAGTGATGCTTGGCCTGCAAAAGACACATGAGGTGAAAGCGTCAGTTCACAGAATCACAGAATCCTCTGGGCTGGAAAAGCCCCTGAAGCTCCTCCAGCCCAACCATGACCCTCACCCTGACCGTTCCCAACTCCCCCAGATCCCTCAGCGCTGGCTCAGCCCGACTCTTCAACCCCCCCAGGGATCCCGAGGACTCCCCCCCTGCCCTGGGCAGCCCATCCCAACGCCCAACAGCCCCTTCTGCACAGAAATCCTTCCTCAGAGCCAGCCTGACCCTGCCCTGGGCAGCTTGAGGCCATTCCCTCGGGGCCTGGCGCTGGCTCCTTGGCTCCAGAGACTCAGCCCCCCTCTCTGCCCCCTCCTGGCAGGGAGTTGCAGAGGGCCAGGAGGTCTCCCCTCAGCCTCCTCTTCTCCAGACTGAACCCCCCCAGTTCCCCCAGCCGCTCCCCAGCAGACCTGTGCTCCAGACCCTGCCCCAGCTCCGTTGCCCTTCTCTGGACACGCTCGAGTGACTCAATGGCCTTTTTGGGGTGAGGGGCCCAGAACTGAACCCCCTCATCGAGGGGCGGCCTCCCCAGTGCCCAGCCCAGGGCTCAGATCCCTTGCCTGTCCCTGCTGGCCACACCAGTGCTGACACAAGCCAGGATGCCATTGGCCTTCTTGGCCCCCTGGGCACACTGCTGGCTCATTCTCACCCCCCCAGTCCCTGTCTGACCGGCAGCTCTCCAGCCACTCCTCCCCAGGCCTGTAGCCCTGCTGGGGGTTGTTGTGGCTCAAGGGCAGCCCCCGGCATTCGCCCTCAGTGAAACTCATTCATATACACCATTGCAGTCTCACTCATTTTGTGACTCTCAGGCCCATAAAATAAAGATTAATCTAACGACACTACTGGCTTCCTGCCACCTTACCATGAAAGCCAAAGAAATCAAAGGTCTGAAGCAATACTACATGCCCCAAAGCAAAAGCTGAACTCTGTTAGACCTCAGTGTTACCTCAAACATTCTCTGTCTTCCAAAATGGTGTTACACCGGGATTTCTTAAACCAAACGTGTTTATTTACATATTAACTGCTCAGCTAGCTGAACTTAGGTGGCTGAGCCACGTTTAAAGAGATACTCTTAAGAATGATGTTCAGGGAGATGTTGGTTTTCTTTGGTTGGTTTCAATCATACTTTTTCTTAAGAATCAAATCAGTTTTCAGAAGTTGGTTTTGGCTTATGCTGTATTCAAAACTTGTCTAAGATGAAGACAGATGCTTCCTGAAAATAAAACTGCCTGAACAGGCTAAACTGATCAAAAACTTCATTTAAACATCAGGCAGACATCTTGAACTCCTTGAATTTTAGGAGGGTTTTCCTGGGCTTTCCTGATGCTTCCAGGTCTCATTGCTCCCTGTTTATTATCATATTTCTAAAACTGAATTGGGAAAAGCTGTATACATTCACAGGTGTTTCACACAACACACAAAGCCAGTCAGATTTCACAGGCGTTGCGAGAATACAGTAGCAAAGTAGCATTTTTCGATGCACCAGGTCTCTGCCAAGGTTATCCAAGTGTTAAATCTTTGCCTCATAGGCCAGGCACATGAGTGCTGGATTTCCTTAACTACGACCAGTTATTTTCTTACCTGTGCATAAATGTTTGACAACCTATAAAAAAAGTTGCGAACTGACAGACAGCCCATACTGAAATAAGGGCTCAGGCCTGTGGTGTTTGGAAGCAGTGAATTTAGAACTGTTCTTGGTTTAGTAGAACTTGCCACCCAGCCCTAAAAGGGAAACAGAAATCCAGGTTCAGGCAGTACAAGGTGACATGTTTCATGTCACATGAAACAGGGAAAAAACTCTTGGCAGTTGGCTTCTGCATCACAGAGGCCGGTTCATTGTCATCTCCCACCACCCATCCTCCCACAAATACCCCCGTCAGGGACAAAAAAATCGTGAGACCAGGCTGCCATCCTCCTTCAAGATCTCCAAATACACAGACGTCCTCCAAGCCCAAGGTCAAGGGCACGTCTCACCCATGGGTGCTGTGAAGCTCCGCTCTCCCCAGAGACCCGGGTGATTTTGTAACACAGGGAACAGCTCTCTTGGTTCAGCAACACCGCACTGAAAACCTTTTCCACTTTATGACATTGCGAGTGGGTAAAGCATCTGCTTTAAAGCAGCCAGCACCAAGGCAGGCTTGGCTGCCAAGAGCTGAGCCCTGGTGGGGAAAAACTCGCTAGAGCTGGAACAGCTGAGAGGTTTCCTGAGGTCTAGACACAACCACACATAAAAGGAGCAAGGTGGACACTAAGCTCAGCCCATCTAGAACCACCATCCTCACCCATGTAAAATCAGAGCTGACCTGGTCAGTCAAGTGTTCCTCCAGGCGTTGTAGCCCTTGGGTCTCGTCTCCTCTCCAGGGGGAAAGGCTCTTCAGGGGGGAATCTTCAAATCCACAGGGAGAGGCACCCTGTAGCACTCAGCCAGGCCCGGGTCAGGGGCCCTACATCTCCTAATGTGGAAGAGAGGCCTCTTGCAAAGAAGGAACCAGAGCCAGAAGAGGGAGGAAGACCCCTGCCCGTTGCACATGCCAAGGTCTCCTCTGTCGCAGCAAAGCCAGAGCAGAGGGGAATGAAAGCACAGCCAGAAACCCCAGGCTGCACTCTCCTTGGGGAAGAAAGAGCTCATCCTGCAATCACTGCAGGTAATTCTAGCCTGAATTGGGGGAAGAGGAACAGACCCACCAAATTACAGCGCTCAGAGCCATCAGCTGCAGCCCCCAGAGCTCAGACATCCATCCACTACATAAGACTCGGAGGCACCTCCTCTGCAGCTTCCCGCAGCTGTTTCATCCACCCCTGAGAGGGAGCTAAGAGCCTCCTCAGACTCTAAACGTAATTCTGGGGCTCTGGTTCTGCCTCCCAAGGCCGTTACAAATCCCATGTCTCCAAGGAGAGGTTTCATAGGGAAGGAGGCAGACCAGCTCCCTGAGCCACCTCCCCAGCTGGTCCTTCTTAACCAAGGTGGGGGCTCCCCAAGCCCACACCTCTGAGCAGTCCCCCCGCGTCTCTCCTGCAGCCGCTGCTGAGGCTTCCCCATTATGAGGCTTGAAGAGCATCAGGGTATGTTTTTTCACCCCCTGTAAAACACAGAGGAGGAAGTTCCAGGAAGTGTCAGTGGTATGCAGACTTCTCAGAAACCATGAATCAACTCAGATATCAATAGAGATCTTTCTACTTACCTAGAAAAAAAACGGGCTTAGCTCTGTTGCAGTAACCTGCAGAAGAAGGGGCTAGTGCAGCTCTCAGAGCACTGACATAACACAGTCCTGCTGGGAAGCATTAAAAAACGCAAATAAACAAATTAGGGAAGAAAGAGGGGGAAAAAAAAACAGTGCAAAAAAAATACAGGAACTGATATATCCCCATACTTACATGAGTTTTATCATGGGACTACCCGAGAACAACATTCAGGAATTAACAGGATTCCCCCAAGGTGGGAAGACCCAAGCCTCCATCGCCGACACAGAGCTGAGGTCAAGAGGAGGCATCTGACACAGAAGTCCCAAGTATCTGCAGTCCCATCCCAGTGGCCAGCTCTCCCCTAGCCCAGTCTTACCTCCCTTTGGATCACTGACCTCTCCTCATGCAGAGCTAAACATAAGGCATCCTCTACTTCAAGCTTCTTCTCAACTCCTGGGAGATATGAGCGTTGACCCTCCTTCCCATACAGCAGAGGGGAGGAGAGAAAAGGCTTAAAGCCAGAAGGGAACAGAATAATTGTTCCATCAAACCTCCTTCAGAAAACAAACCATGGTGGTTTATCCAATTCCTGCCCTAAATGTTGATTTGAGAGGAATCTAGAACATGCCTTTGAGAAGGAGACCTGTAATTCCTTAGTCATTCCTCTGTTAGACTTTTACGTGCCTTAAAAGTTTGTCTCTATGTGCCTTGCAAAAGCTTAAGTCTTTGGGCTGTGTCACCTGTCATCTCTCTCCCCTCCCGACAGCAGAATCACATCCCAGTACCTACAATCCATAACCCTCCACGCACAGAAGGAATGCAACATAACATCTAAACCACCTGTTAGGGGTTAGAAACGTGAGAAAAGCAAAACAGCGAGAAACCTGTAAACCACACGTTTCCTTGACACAGGGTGCCCAGAGCAAGCACAGGATGGGATGGAGGTCCTGTGATTTGTGTTTGTCGTGGCGCCAGGCAGGAATGTGAAGTGAGGTGCAGGCCACGCGGTCCCGTTCTTTCACTCATTTCAAGGACAGATTTATCTCCTGCTCTACTCTTTTCTCTCAAGGGATGATTTTTGCAGTAGCCTGCTGGCCTTGTTCCTCATCCTCCCTTTTTTCCCACAAAAACCAGCTGTACCTCTGGCACCAAGGCATGTGCTGTGCCGTTACTCAAAAGGTAATGGCTTGTCCACAGTCCCACCCACTCACACATACAAACTAGGATAAATACTACCCCGAGTTTGCACCTAACTTGGAGGGATGATAATCTGACACCAAATCAGAGGGACAGATCGACGGGTTTGTGCTCTCGCCCCCCTCCCCCAGAAGGGACGCCTTCAGGTAAGATTCCCTGGGCTATGCTGAGTGTATACCCAGGAACCGTGTGTGTGTGTGTGTGTGTGTGATTACAGTCCTTTTGTGTACTGCTCTAGAGCCAGCCTGCAGTTTGGGCGTTTATCATAGGCAATCGTGAAGAATCTGTGGATGTTGCAGATGACACCCAGTTGGGTGGGAGTGTTGATCTGCTCAAGGGTGGGGAGGCTCTGCAGAGAGACCTTTTCTCCCCAATGCTTGTTAAATCTGAAATAAACCTTCCTGGAGACACCTCACTGGTCTTCAGGACAATCACGTACCGTTTGGTATCACACAGACTGTGGCCCACCAGAGAAAGCACCTCAAACCCCAGCTCATCTCCCAGACATCGTACATTGGCCGCCATCTCCTTGCAAAATGGTTCCATCTCTGCATCCAGAGCCACTTGCATGATATTCCACTTGTGGATGTGATCCCTAGGAACAGACTCTCCTTGAATAACCAGCAAGCAAGAGCCCAGCTCCCACAAGTTTTTCTGGAGAACCTCCAGGGACCGCAGCAGAAAATGCCAGCGCAGGGCCCCTGTGTGCATCATGGACATCATGAACTTTCTGTCCAGGATGCAGACAGGGTAGATGACGGAGGACTCCATCACAGCCAGCAGCGTTGGCTTGTCAAGAAGCCAAAGTCCCTTCCAGAAAAGATGAACGGTGTGACGCGGCATCCTGGCTGTTCTCCTTGGACCTGTGAAAAGAGGAAGGGAGCCCCTGGCTTTTGGGATACACAATCCCTATATAAAGAACAAGGTCAATTAACAATTAGCAATGGAGCTACAAACAGCCCTCATCTCTTTTTACCACAAATCTCTTCTGCTTTTTGATATGTTTTTCTGAGAGAAAAACAGAAACAGAAGCAAACCGCTCTCCTCCGTCTCCTCAGCCAGGTCCCACCATTCCGCAGCAGTATCACCATCGCGCTCCACAGAAAATGCCTTCTTCCCCAAATGCCCTTAAATTAAATCCCTAAATTAAATTACATCCTAATACCACGCACCAGAAGGAAGGAATCAAAACAGACAGAGCTGCCAGAGCTCCATTTACTGCAAAAACATTTTATAACCCCACAGATGTGACCATCAGCAAACCCTCTGCAAGTCAACAGCACGAAGATGATTTCGGGAAGCTCTACCTCTGTTCATACAGCACAGGCTGCAGGGAGAACAGCTCTGCAGGAGCCCTCATCTCATCAGAGACCTGATACAACGCTCTGGCCGTGAAAAGGCTTTCTAGATTTCAGCAGAAGACATCTGAAAGACACAGCATGTTTCCTTACCAACAAGACTGTTAAGGCTTCAGGTGAAACAAGGGAAAGCAAAGCACAGCCCAACCAGTACTGATACCAGAGCATAATATCTCAATTTATTGGTTTGCCACAGATTTTATCGACCTTTCCTAGCCCCCGGAGACCTCATGGTGCTTCTAAGTATCAGGACAAAAGCCCTTCTCTCTCTGCAGCAGAGCTGGGTAGTGATAACTGCACAAAACTACTCTTTTTCTAAGCCGGGGCTGATGTAGGGATTAGCACAAATTCATTCCCCTTCGACCTCCTTCAGCTGAGTTTAGAGGACAGGCAGGAGGGCTGATCTTGGCTCTAAGTCTGGGATGGCTCTGGGCAGTCTGAGAAACTATCCCCAACTGCTGGCTGCTCTGCTCCCGGGGCGATGGACTCGACAGACAGAAACGACGAGCCCAGCTGCCACCTTGTGTTTGTACCAAACCCAGCAGCATCTCCCCAACTTGCTCTCTCCCACATAAAAGGGGGAAGCTCAACGCTCACCTCCGAGGTGGGTCCACGCCTGCTTCTAATTTCAACTGTTACCACCCAGAGAAGAATTAAAAGATTAGGGATTAGCAAAGAACCAGACAATAACCTCTGATGCAGTTCAGCTCTTTCAGCCAAGCTGCTCCCCTCACACCCTCCCAAATGGCTGCAGTAGGTGACATCCCCTTGTCCCCACTCACTCAACCCACAATCAACAGCTTAATCATAAAAGATGATCTGACTTCCTCTGTTCCCAAAACCACTCATCAGCATCACCGAGATAAACCCAGCTGTGCTCCCAGGCACGCCGTAACCCCCCCAACAAGCAAACCCTGCAACCTGGCGGGTGCTGGGCAGCGCTGGGCGTAGCCAAACACGGGGAGCTGGGCTTTGTGGGGTGTCTGCTCTGCACCTCGGCTGGAGCACCACCCTGCCCACACGTCCTGGGAGAACAGGAAAAACGAGGCAACTCTCCTGCTGCTCGAGGGAGCACCCAGCTGGCACTTTTGGGTAGCAAACCAGGCAGAGGGTGCTAGAAGAGTCCCCTGCATCCCATGGGAGGAGCGTAGGACCAGCCCGCACCAGCTGGCCTCACCGAGGGGCTGCCCCAGGGCTGGGGCTCCAAGGCCCCCCACAGCCTTTGGGGCCGTCCCACACCCAGGACCCTGCACCCCCACATAGCCTATGGGCCCCCCCTGAGCCCAGTGCCCCATACAGCCTATGGGGCGACACCAAAGTTGGGGTCCCACACAGCCCATGGGGCCACCCCAAACCTGGAGCCTCTCGGCCCCAAACAGTCCATGGGATGACCCCAAGCCCAGGGTGCCCTGGGGTGAGGGGGCCCAGTGGGGTGGGGAGGGGACATTCCCATCCCTTCCAGTGGTGGCATCTTCTGCAGGGACAGTGGGACCACACCAGGGCAGGGACAGGAAGGGACTGGGCACAGGGCAGGGGGCACATGGCCAGGGCTAGAAGGAGCCTGGGTGGGCTGCGGGGCCGAGGTTAGGAGCAGCTCTGGGGATCCCAGAACAGGGGACTGGGGAAATCAGAGCTGGTGAGGAGCAGGACTCCAGAAAATGGGCTGGGGCACGCTGGGGAGGGAGTAAGTCCAGAGCCAAAGAGGTGTCAGGACCAGGTGGGGATCTGGGACCGACATCTGGGTGACAAGAAACATCAGGGGGAGCGCTGATGCAGGCCTGGTGGCACTGTGAGTGGTGTCGGAGAGGAGGAGGTGGCTCAGCACCAAGGGGCTGCACCCTTGGACACTCCTGCCCCGTCAGGAGCAAGAGGGAGATCCTCTGGGGTGATGGGGGAGGGCAGAGCAGGCGCTGTCTGTCAGTCAATTTTGTGTTAGGATTTATCCACCATTACTCTTCTAAATCTCCATGAACTGGTCACTTAAGGCCATTCACCCAGCAAGGCCGGGCAGACTCCCTGCCACGTCTGGATTACATCTGTTCATCAAAAATCATCCAACGCAGGCAGAAAATAGACAGAATCCCAGAATCCTCTGGGTTGGAAAAGCCTCAGGAGTGGGAGAAATGCGGCTGCCTCAGCCACCCCTTCGGGGAGAGGCTTTGCCAGAGCCATTTATTTGGTGAAAGCTGCTTTGAAGCTCAAGGGGAAGGTCTGAGTTACAGAATCCTCTGGATTGGAAGAGACCCTGAAGCTCCTCCAGCCCAACCATGACCCTCACCCTGACCCTTCCCAACTCCCCCAGATCCCTCAGCGCTGGCTCAGCCCGACTCTTCAA